ATTTTCCAACACCTTCTTGGGCTCATCACTTTATCAACTCTTGTCAATGTTGAAGACTAATGAAAATACAAATAACATTATTGCATGGGGAATAAAGATTACTTTTTATACTTATGTGTTTTGGGGTCGTCTTCCTGGTAATCCATGGCTTCAATTTTTGTTAAGCAGTTTGTCTACATACCTGTTACCTACATATTTACCTCATCAAGGCAGGAAACCTGGGGATCTTTCCCTTAGAGCTTGCAGTCTCAGTGAGGCTGATATCACTCCTGCTCAAGGAGGTGAAAATTGGTTCTGAAGATTTCTGAAGAAATCTTACTCTTCTTACGTGTAAAGCACAGATGCATATATACAAAGAACGTAAGCAGATACACAGTTTGTGTTCTTAAAATTTCACAGGCCCAGCAACTTCATGCCTAGGTATACAGCCAAAAGAATTGAAGGCAGGAACACAAACAGGTACTTGTACACCGATGTTCACAGCAGCATTATTCACAATAACCCAAAAGGTGGAAACAACCCAAGTGTTCATCTAGGATTAATGGATACACAAAATTGGTCGATTCATACAATGGAATATGATTCAGCCATGAAGAGGAATGAAATTTTGATACATGCTGCAACATGGACGGATTGAAAACATTGTATTAAGTGAAATAAGCCAGACACAGAAAGACAAATATTGTATGATTCCACCTATATGAGATACTAGAATAGGCAAATTCATAGAGATGGAAAGTCTAATAGAAGTTACCAGGGGCTGGCGGGAGTGGGGAATAGGGAGTTAAGGTATAACGAGTACAGAGTTTATGTTGGGGATAAGGAAAATATTTTGGATAAAGATAGTGGTGATGGTTATATAACACTGTGAATGTATTTCATGACACTGAGTTGTACACTTACAAAGGGTTAAAATGATAAATATGTTATGTATATCTTACCACAATAAAACATTTTTATGGGTTGGAGGTTAGGAAAAAAAATACCTAAAAAGTTTCCTTGGTGGAGGGCTCAGTAATGAAAGAAAGGTGGAAAATGCTGTCTTAGTGGGAAGAGATGCTCATTAGGTCCATCTGGGTCAGCCTGAATAACTGTTCAAACTAAGAGCTTTTTACCAAAAGAGGAAGCAGAGCTAGTTGAGATTTTTCTTTTCTTAAAAAGGCTGAAGGATTTGTGAGAATCAGCAGAAATTAAATTGTTAGAACCACCCTGTGGGGTTCTGAAGCATCATATTCTGTTTGTCCATAAATTAGAGGCAGATTTATCTTCCTAATCTTTTCTTCACTAGTGTAAGGAGTATTGTGTGCTCATCAAGTGGCTTATTAATTTCCATTGAGATAATAGGCAACATCTCCAAAATGTAATACCATAAAGCTATAACTAATTTTGCAAATCAACTTAAAAATTATAATCTGACTCACTGTAAAACTGTTTCCTCAGGCAAATTAGGAGCCGTTCAAATTATGAATGCTAGTTATATTTTTTTCTACCTGTTCCTGGCTTTCTACTTGTTTCTGGTAGAGACCTTTTGGTAAGGTCTCTAACGCAGGCCTCTACTCCTCTGGCATTGTTTGTGATGCACTGTTGGTTTGTATGCAACCATCTCATACTACTGAATAGATATAACAACCACAACCATATCCCATCTATCTATAGATGGCTCCTAAATTTATATCTCCAGTCTTGACCTCTTCCTGATCTCCAGAGTTCTATACCCTGGTGCCCACTGCATGTGTCCCATGGGAGGATGCATCTCCAACCTGACACTTCCATGATGTCATCATCATCCCTGCATCCTAATTCCTGCATGACTCTCCCCTCTCCTCCCATCTAAGAGCGAACATGCATCTCCACACCTTTCCCTTCTCACACCAGTGGTCGCTACGTTACTGCAGCGGTAGCCTGGGGCAGAAGATGTGGAGTCATCTTGACTTTCCTTTACTCACAACTCACATTCAACCCATCCTTAGATCCCATTGGCTCTATTTTCCAAATATACCCAAGACATCTATTTGTCACCACTGCCACCACTACTATCTGGGTTCAAACCCTCATCACCTCTCACTGGAACCCCTACAAGAGCTTCCTGTGGCTTTGCTTTTACATTTGCCACAGCCTCATCAACAGGCTATTCTCATTAGAGCAGCCAGACTGATCTGGATTAAATGGAAATCAGGTCGTGCCACTATTTTGTTCAAAACTCTTGCTTCCCCTCTGTCCCCCCTGGTTAGGGTAAGAGCCAGAGACCCCCGGTGGTTCTTCAAGGCTCTACCTAGGCTTGCCGGGCACTTTTCTTACTTTTCTTCTCCTCTTCTCCCTCTTGCTCATCCACTCCAGTCACATTGACTCTTTGACTTTCCTTAAGAACACTGAACACTCTATATTTATTTCCGTGCCGGGAACATTTCTCCTTACCCCCATCTCCCCTACAATATTCCCAGCGCTCCCTTGTGTCCTTCGGGATTTTGCTTAAATGACACCTTCTCAATTAGGTCTTCCCAGGCCACTGCATCTAAAAGTTGCAACTTGATCCTGCAAATTCCTATTCTCCATCCCTTTATTTTTTCTCCCCAGCCAGTTAATATACTGTATTTATTTTTTACTAATCTGTTTATTGTGTGTCCAGCAAGCGCAGGCATTTTTATCTGTTAGGTTCATAGCTAGATTCTGTGGCCCTTGGAGCAGTGTCTGGCACACAGTTTGTGCTCAATAATTGTTTGTTGAACTAATAACTGAATAAAGAAATATCAAAAACAATAGCATCTGTTTATTAAGCCTTTACTATATGACAGGCACTTTGCCAATAACTTAAAAAAATTTTTTAAAAAGTCTCAACCCCATCCTCTTCCCCAATCCCTATGCCCTTTTCAGTAGAGAACCAGATAGTAAATATTCTCAGTTTTGTAGGCCATACGATCTCTGTCATAGCTGTCAACTTTGCCATTTAGTGCAGAAGTAGCTGTAGATAATATGTAGACAAACGAGTGTGGTTGTGTTCCAATAAAACAGTGGAAATGTACAATTCTCAGGGGAGGGAGGTGGATAGGTATTCTGAGTATGGTGCTTTACTAGCATATGTAATCCCCTTCACCTTATTCAACCACCCTATGAGGTATGATTATCCCTATTTCATAGATAACGGAGCTGAGACTGGACTAAAGAACTTGCCTAAAAAAATAGCAAAGCTGGGAAAGCGATGAACAACTGATTTCTTTTCTGCTGCATGGACTTGCTTCCCTAAATGAGGAATTTAATATAGTCTCCAAAAATGGAGTGAAGTTTTTCTTTTTAAAAAAGTTTTCTTGACTACATCCCAGATATAGAAGTCCTGTTATGTGGGTTTCACTGGATTGGTGTGAATGATGCATTCACTTGTCCTAACAAGTTGTGCTTTCGCCATTTGTTTCCTTGATACAATCAAGGCTCAATTTCCTGCACAGAAATGACTCATGGCCTTGCTCATCTATCTGTGGAGAGTTCCCAGTTCTTGGTTGATTTCCATTTCTATCTTGTTCTAAAGCCTTCCTGTCTTAGTGCCCAAATGGCTTATTTTTAAGGTAATGACACCAATTTTAATTTTAGCTTAAAAAATTAATAATGTGTGTGTGTGTGTACATGTGTGAACACACAAAAAATATGCAGATGTTCTAGTGTCATGAGACTTTTGAGATTGTCTATTTTATTAAGTATACCTCCATAATTCACTTGAATGTGCAATTTAAAAAATGACATTTATTAATGCCTCCTATCTAAGTGCTATGTGACACAGATAGCTTTTTTTAAAAGATTTTATTTATTTATTTGTCAGAGAGAGAGACAGAGAGAGAAAGAGCACAAGCAGGGGGAGCTGCAGGCAGAGAGAGAAGCAGGCTTCCTGCTGAGCAAGGAGCCCAATGTGGGACTCGATCCCAGGACCCTGGGATCATGACCTGAGCTGAAGGCAGGTGCTTAACTGACTGAGCCACCCAGGTGTCCCTTGACACAGTGTATCTATATACTATACTGACTCTGTATCTATACTTTGCAATCATTCCTCCCACAACAGTCTGGCTTCTTGTCTTGATACTTCACCAAAACAAAGCAGCTCTTTGATGTCAATTTCTCCTGGTTTTCCTCCTACATCTTTGGCCACACTTCTTGGTTCTTTTTGTAAGTTCACCCTCCACTACCCACCATTAAATGTTGGATTTCTTCAGGGTTTGGTTTTTAAGCCTTCTTCTCATATTGTGCATTTTCAGGTAATGAGTTCATTTATGTTCACTGGTTCAGGTCTATAACCTATACATAGATATTTCACAAATCTATGTCCTAGTCCAGACCTCTCCTCTGTTTCAGAGAAGTTTATCAAACAGTCCTTAAAACACATTAAACATACCTCAAAATCCATATATCTACAGCCAAAGTTATGCTCTTCTCCCTCAAACCTGGTCCTCCTATGGTATTCCTTATCTCTGTGCATGGTATTACCAGTCATTCAGTTTTGCAGCTCAAATCTGGGAGTCATCTTTGCTACTCCTCTCTCTTGCATCACAAATATTCAATCCGTTATCCTGTCCTGTTAAGGTTATCTCACACATCTCTCCAATATGTTGATTCTTCCCCCCCATCTCCATCAGCAGCATCTTAATTTGTGTTATCATCATCTCTGTTTGGAGTACTGTAATAGTTTCTAGTTGTCTCCACATCTACTAATGTCTCCTTCTGATTCATCCTTACAACTGCCAGAGTAATTTTTTCAAACCAGAAATCTAAACACATTATATCCCTGCTTCAAACATGTCAGTGGCCTCTCATTCCTTTTTTGTTAAAGACTTAATTTTTTTTTTAAGTGACCCTGAGATCACAACCCTGAGATCAAGATCTGAGCTGAGATCAAGAGTCTGGACGCTTAACCAACTGAGCCACCCAGGTGCCCCAAAGACCTACATTTTTAACAAAGTCTAGAGTGTTTATCATAGAGTGGCTTCTATCTGTCTCATACTCCCTCTCATACCTGGCTCTTTTTTTTTTTTTTTTTTTTAAGATTTTATTTATTTTTTTGACAGAGAGAGACACAGCGAGAGAGGGAACACAAGCAGGGGGAGTGGGAGAGGGAGAAGCAGGCTTCCCACTGAGCAGGGATCCTGATGTGGGGCTCGATCCCAGGACCCTGGGATCACAACCTGAGCCGAAGGCAGACGCTTAACGACTGAACCACTCAGGTGCCCCTCATATCTGGCTCTTGTTACACTGGCTTTCATTTGGTTCCTTGATTTTACCATATTCCTTCCTGCCATGTGAGATTTTTACATGTTCCTCTTTCTGCCTATGCTGTTAGTTCCCCATCCCTTAGACTCATTAGGTTATATTTCTCCTTTATATCTTAGCTCAACTATTATAACTTACCAGTCATCACTTAGGAAAATTTTCCTTGATTTACTAAGTTAGGTCAGATTTTATAAGTTCTCATAGAGCCATGAATCTATTTTTTAAGCTCTTCTTTTATTAGCATTTAAATTTGAATAATATCTTTAGTTGAATATGTTTTCTTCTCATCTAGAGTACTAGAGTATCTAAATTCTGTGAGGTGAGGGGCTGTTTTTACTTCCTTTTTTAATTTTAATTTTTACTTTTTAGAGAGGGAGGTCAAGGAGGGGCAGAGGGAGAGAGAGAATCTTTTTTTTTTTTTTTTTAAGATTTTATTTATTTGACAGAGAGAGACCCAGCGAGAGAGGGAACACAAGCAGGGGGAGTGGGAGAGGAAGAAACAGGCTTTCTGCTGAGCAGGGAGCCCGATGCAGGGCTCAAACCCAGGACCCTGGGATCATGACCTGAGCCGAAGGCAGACGCTTAACGACTGAGCCACCCAGGCGCCCCAGAGAGAGAGAATCTTAAGCAGGCTCCATGCTGTGTGGAGCCTGATGTGGGGCTTGATTTCACAACACTGAGACTGTGACCTGAACCAAAATCAAGAGCCAGATGCTTAACCGACTGAGCCACCCAGACGCCCCTATTTTTACTTCTCATGATATCACCAGCATTTAGTTTATCTGTCACATAGTAGGAGAATGAATGAAAGAATGAATAAGTAGCATTTAAGCTGTGATAGGAAGGAGAAGTAAGAGTTAGCTGAACAGAGATGGGAGGCAAGAACTTTCTAGCCAAATAGAATATCATGTCCAAAGACCTGAAAACAAGGGAGAGCTCCCAGATGTTCAAGAAGAAAACATTTTTTTGAGATTGAGATCAATGGAGAGAGGGTATGGGGGGGGGGCGGTGGCAGGCAGATGCCAAACTGTAGGTGGCTTTTTAAGCCATGGTAAGAATTATAGACTGTATTCTCCTGTGGACAACAGGAAGTCTTTGAACGGCTTTAAACAAATGTGAAACTGATCAGTTGACCTGGAAACCAATTATATCAGAAATGGTGGTAGCTAAGATTGGAATGGTAGCACTGGGAATGAAAATTAGTGGGTAGATTTAAGAAATATTTAGACCAGCATCTATCAAACTGTAGGTCATAAGCAGTGGCATGCTGGAGATGGTCAAGAGAGCTGATTGTTGGATCTTTGGGATGTTTGCAAGCTCTTTGGTTGGTAGCTTAAATTCACCCATGGTGGGTGTATTTACATCAAAGACTCAAATGCTACACATCAGATTCCCCCTTCTTCACTTCCAGAAGAGCTGGTTGTTAAACATTTGCCAGTAATCCATTGGCTACTAGCATTTTAAAAAGCAACACCAGCAGAAAACACAATAGAAAATATCAGAAAACTTTGCATAAAATGATGATAAAAATTGCTTTGTGAAACTTGTGTTTCACTTGTGTGTGTGTGTGTGTGTGTGCATGCACATACATGCTGGCATGATGCAAGAGATGTTTCTTTCACTGACAGTAAAATAAATTTGAAAGAAACTGATTTAGAAAATAGAATTAAGAGAACTTGGTGATTGATTGGATTTAGGCAGTGAGGGAACTGAGATGAGTTAAGGATGAATCATAGATTCCTGGCTTGATTAACTGGGTGGAGAGTGCTGCCATTTCCTGAGATAGGGAATGCCATAAGGGAGCCCGTTTGAGGGGATGACGAGTTGTTTGGACTTGTTGAATTTGCAGTGTCTGTAAGAGATCCAAGGGGAGGTTTCCTGAAGGCAATTACATGGGTTTGGACTGTAGAGAAAGGACTGATGTGGCAATACAGATATAGGGTTCATTGTCCAAAAGATGGTTGGAGCCATCAGAACAAATTGAGATCACCCAGGTAGAGTATAAGGCATGAGGGGTCCATGAGAGAGACCCAGAAAAGATCAAGATCTAAGGGATAGTTTGAGGAGAATGAGGCTAAGAAGCAGACCAAAAAAAAAAAAAAAAGCTATTGACAGGGAAGGAGGACAGAGAAATATAGTGTCTTGCAGGCAGGGGACAAGTGGGAAAAGGATAGACTAGACAACATCTAGTAGCACGGTATATTTGAGAATTGAGAATAATTAGAAAACTGACTTTCCTACTATAGAGTAGAAGCAAGAAAATTTTCAGATGCCAAGTGGTATGTGTCTCATTCAAATCTCTTTTGGATTTTGACTGGGTACACATGACAAATAGTAAAGAAAAATTGCCCTTGTTAAACTCAGTAGCTCTTATGCCACCTAGCCAAATTTCATCCCATCACATAAATCATGAGTTGTAGTGATCACTGGAGCCCTTGCGGAGATGTAGGGAGGAAGACATATCATTTTCCCTTTTCTGCTGCTGTCACCCTTATTTATCCTGGATAGACACATGTACCTATCTATCTTACCACTGATGATCTTCCAATTCTTAAGATTAGTTTATTTTTAAAAGGATTTAAAAATTTCTTTTGTTATTCACATTTAGATAAGGAGCTAGGCTATTCAACAGCTGGGCTATTGCTCAGAAGACACATAGGACACAGACTCATGCAATACCAGCTAATGGCTAACGTCATTGAATTCTCAATGACAGGCACTGTACTAAATGTTCTACATGAGCGACTCTTTGGGGAAGGTGTTATATTATTACCATTTTGCAGATGAGGACACTAAAGCCCTGAGAGGTTCAGTAAGTGGAGAAGCAGGAATACACATCTCAGCAGTCTGGCTCTCAGCAAATAGGCTGGCCTCCTCCAGAGCTCTGAAGAATAGAGAGTGATGGATGGGAACAGGGCTCTGGACAGCTTTTAATGTGTTCAGAATCAAAAAGTGATCCAAGTATGAAATCTCTGTGTAAATTTTTTCTTTTTTTCCACACTGACTGTAAAAGTTATAGAAAATGTGTCAGATATAGAAATGTTGCAAAATGTAAGATAAATCAGTTTCGGTGAAGTTTAACACAAGATTGAATCTCTTATAAAACTCAAGGGTCAGATTTTGCAACTTCCTGAGAGGGGAGAAAACCACTGCAAGGATAAAATAATAAACACTTCCTTCAGAAAAGGCATTGACTTACCCCTTAAGAAAGAGTCACATGATATGTGCCTTTAGCCTACTTAAATTCACTATGCTGCTTGGCAGGCAGTGAGCATGTGCCCCAGGGTGGGGCAAGATAAAGAATGTGCATTGCATCAGCTCTGTGTGTCTCGCATGGTACTTCCAACCTGATGCTTCTGAAGGACTTCCCAAGGGCAGTTTTAACTTCTGGTTCAAAATGCTGACTTTAGAAGTGGCCCTCTTTTTAGATCTAATTGTCTCAATATAGGGCAATATAAAGGCCCCTTGGACCATCTCCTGACTATTGATTGCAAGGAGATTGGTTCTTGCTACATTTTTGAGAATCTAGAATTCTGCTGGAGTTTTCTGGAGTTTGTGTACTCATTCATTTATTCAACAAACACTTCTTGAATCCCTTCTGTGTGCCAGGTGTAGTAAGCAGCAGTAGGGATGCAAAGGCATGCCATTGAGGAGATCATGGTGCAGAGGGCTGCCAACGTTCCCACTGTAATGGCCGTGGGCCCCAGGGAATATGACAAAAGATATCTGCCTAGGTGGGAACATGGCTCTGGAAACAGGTCTCAAAAAGTTCTCTATGGTGATGTGTACAGTAGTGCTAGAGAATTAATGCATCAATTCATAGGCAAATACCACATGGAGGGATCCCATCTGAAGCAGTGTTGAAATATCCTCTAGCTCAGTTACAGAGATAATTTCAGAAGTTACAGATATAATTATGTAACTCTTCATTTACTGTGGGTTTAATAGAGTCTTCTTCAAGTTAATCTTTTAAGGTATAATCATAATTGACAATTTATCAGTGTCTTTCCAATTTTCTCATTGGAGCTAGCCCAAATTGACATACATGGGAGGTAGCTAGACATGAGGCCAGCTTTATGAGTGTGCACCTTATGCAGTCACATGTGGCCCTGGGCTCAGAAGGGCCCTACATTTGGTTTAATGCTCTGCTTCGCTATCTTAAAATTCTAATCATTTTTGAACCAGGGCCTCCAAATTTTTATTTTGCACTGTGCCCCACAAATTACGGAGCTGGTCCTGTCTAGCAGCTGTACCATCCATACTTTGGATCTACTTCCAGCTTATCCACATAGTGGTTAGGTCACCTTGAATATTATTTAACTTTAGAAGCCTCAGTTTCTCTCTGCTAAAGGGGTATAAAGAATACTGCCTATCTTAGAGATACACTCATCAGATAACGTGCAGTTATTAGCACAGTCAACTTAGGTTAGATAAAAAGCAAGCAAACAAAACAAACAAAATCTTCCCACTGCTTCTCCTTATGCAGAAATATATACTTTTTCTCTACTTCTCACAGACAAAGATATTTTCAAGGTTACAAGTCCCTCCACCCATCCTTGGAGAAAAGGCAAATTGTGCATGCCTCCCAGAATGAATTCCTGTAATGAGGTAATAAGGAAATGTGCTTTCTTCCTGATTCTAAATCACAAATATCAGAGTAATTTATCCACACAGGCAGGCCAATAATCTACTTCACAATATTTTCTCCCAACACATTTCCTGGCACAGGTCTAAAAACTGGTTCCAAATTATTTGCTTCCTTTGAGTCCTGCTTTCTATAGCCTACCTGGTCTTATGGTGATGTTTCCTCAGAGAACTCAATTCAAATTTCCCTTAATAAAATTCATGACTGATTTTGCTTCACTTCAATCATTTGGACCTTCTTAAAGTATATAGATGCCAAACATCAAGTTAACACATTGAACATTGTAGGAAACATGTGTTCTTTCTAGAAAGAGGTGGGGAGTGTGGTCAGCAAGGGACTCTTACGACCTGAGCAATCATCAGAGTTGGCTGTGGTAGTGAGAAACCCATGCACTTAAACTGCTAGCTCTGGAAGGGGAAAATCCCACATTGGAAAATCATAATTTTCCATATTTTACAGAAATGATCTCTAGTGTCTCTCTAGCACATTCTGTGCTTCTCCCTCTAGTAGATTGTTATTTTTAGGACTGCAGTGTTCTCATTACCCCTGCCATGATTACATCTTCCTTGATCCTGCCACTTTCTGGAACTACCAATCTCTCTCTCTCTTTCTAATTGCCAACCTTCTTTATTAAATAGTAAATTTCTAGACATCTCTTGAGCTCTTGCTTTGGGCCAATGCCCAGTCTCAAATTGCAGTAAGGCCATCTCTGTATTATTTGTCACATCTGTCCTCTATGTGCTTCTTCCATAACTGTTAAATGTTTCTTTTTTCATTCAATAAATATGAACTAGTGTCTGGAATGTGTCAGACACATAAATATAGCAGTATGTAAAGTAGATGTGGTCCTGCCCTTGTGACAGGGTTTCCTGTATAACAGAAATACAGACATTAGATGACATCGTAGTATTATGCCCTCGCTAGTGCAAGGGAGGGGTGGGAGGGTCAGCTATTATTTTTTCAAGCTGAGTTGTAGTGTTCATTTTTCAACTTCATTTTAATTTCTATCAAAATTAAAACATCAAAAGCTCTAGAAAGTTTATATTAAAAGGCAGAAAGTCACTGCCATAGCCAACTCTAGGTAGCCCTTAGTCTCTTTCCTATACCCTGTCCAGATCCCCAGAGGAAGCCATATTCAACAATTTCAGCAGTTTCTTTAGTTTTTATATCTATATTTCTTAAAAATAGCTATATATTGCCAATATTCTTGATTTATCAACTTTAGATAGTATCTTCTGATTCCTAGCATGAAAGATATGGGTTCAGCCATCTTACAACTCCTCCTCTCCTTTTTTCTTATCTTTTATCCACCAAATATATTAAGATTATATTTGGGTGGGCTAAATCGGTTTTTTGTATTTACTTTTATTATGCTTTTAGTTTGTATCTAAAAACTCCACCAAACCCAAATTCCTTGTTTTCTTCTGGAAGTTTATAGCATTGAGCTTGACAGGGTTATGACACATTTTGAGTTAATTTTTGGGAAAAGTGTAAGGTTTGTATTCAGACTGACTGTTTTTTCATATGGACTTTCAATTGTTCCAGTACCATTTTTGAAAAGTTATCCTTTATTCATTGAATTGCCTTTCCTCCTTTGTCAAATATCAGTAGACTATGTTTATGTGGATCCATTTCTGGGCTCTTTATTCTGTTCTATTGACCTTTGTGCCTATTCTTTCGCCAAGACCACATCACCTTGATTACTGTAGCTTTATAGTAAGTCTTGATGTCAGATAGTATCAGTTCTCCAATTTTCTTTTTCTTCAGCATTGAGTTGGCTATTCTGTGTCCTTTGCCTTTCAACATAAACTTTAGAATTGGTTTGTTAAGATCCACAAAATAACTTGCTGGGATTTTGATTGGACTTGTGTTGAATCTGTAGATAAAGCTGGTAAGAATTAACATCTTAACAATATTGGGTTTCTCAATCCATGAATATAGATAGACTCTCTCTCCACTTATTTACATCTTATTTCTTTCATCAGAGTTCTATAGTTTTTGCATATGTATCTTGTACACATTTGTTAGATTTATATCTAAGTATTTCATTTTTTTGTGGCATTGTAAATGGTACTGTTTTCCATTCAGGTACTCCTTGTCCATTGCTCGTATGTAAGAAATCAATTCATTTTTGTATATGAACCTGTATCCAGTGACTAATTAGTCCAGGAGGTTTTTTTTGTTAATTCTTTGGAATTGTCTACATAGATAATTGTGTGATCTGTGAACAAAGATAGTTTTATTCTTTCCTCTTAATCTGTATATAACTTTTACTTTTCTTTCTTGGTCTTATTGCATTGGCTAGGACTTCCCATACGATATTGAATACCAATGGTGATAGAGGACATCCTTGCTTTGTTCTCAGTCTTAAGGATAAAGCATCCAGTTTTTTACCACTAAGTATGATGTTAGCTGTAGTTTTTTTTAAATAGATGTTCTTTACTAATTTGAGGAAGTTCTTCTCTATTCATACTTTGCTGAGTCTTTTTTTTTTTTTTAAGATTTTATTTATTTATTTGGGAGAAAGAGAGCATGCGTGAGAGGAGAGGGAGCAGAGGGAGAGGGAGAAGCAGGCTCCCCGCTGAGCAAGGAGCCTGATGCGGGGCTTGATCCCAGAATCCTGGGATCATGACCTCAGCCAAAGGCAGACACTTAACTGACTGAGCCACCCAAGTGCCCCAAGTTTTCTTTTTTTAAAAATCATGAATGGGTGTTGGACTTTGTCAAATTACTTTTCTGCATCTATTAATATGGTCATATTATTTTTCCTCTTCAGCCTATTGATGTGGTGGGTTATACTAATTGATTTTTGAATGTTGACTGGCTTTGCATACCTAGAAAAAATTCCACTTGGTCTTGGTGAATAATTTTTTTTATACATTGTTGGGTTGGACTTGCTAATATTTTTTTTGGGGGGGGTTGCCACTTTATATTTCATTTTCTTTTTTGAATTTTTTATTCAAATTCAATTTAGTTAACATATAGTGTATTATTAGTTTCAGGGATAGAATTTAGTGATTCATTGGTTGCATATAACACCCAGTGCTCATTACATCAAGTGCCCTCTTTAATGCCCATCACCCAGTTATGACATCCCCCCCACCTCCCTTCCAGCAACCCTGTTTGTTTCCTATAGTTAAGAGTCTCTAATGGTTTGTATCCCTCTTTGTTTTTATCTTATTTTATTTTTCCTTCCCTTCCCCTATATTCATCTTTTTGTTTCTTAAATTCCACATATGAATGAAATCATATGGTATTTGTCTTTCTCTGACTGACTTATCTCACTAAGTATCCTACCCTCTAGTTCCATCCATGTCATTGCAAATGGCAAGATTTCATTCTTTTTGATGGATAAGTAATATTCCACATAAGTAATATACCACATCTTCTTACCACATCTTCTTTATCCATTCAACTGTCAATGAACATCTGGACTCTTTCCATAGTTTGGCTATTGTGGACATTGCTGCTATAAACATTGGGGTTCATGTGCCCCTTTGAATCACTATTTTTGTATCCTTTGGATAAATACCTAATAGTGTAATTGCTGGGTTGTGGGGTAGTTGTATTTTTTAACTTTCTGAGAACCTCCATACTGTTTTCCAGAGTGGCTGCACCAGTTTGCATTCCCACCAACAGTGTAAGTGTGTTCTCCTTTCTCCACATCCTTACCAACATCTATTGTTTCGTGAATTGTTAATTTTTAGCCCTTCTGACTGGTGTGAGGGGTTATCTCATTGTGGTTTTGATTTGTATTTCCCTGATGCTGAATGATGTTGAGCATTTTTTTCATGTGTCTGTTGGCCATCTGTGTGTGTTCTTTGGAGAAATGTCTGTTCATGTCTTCTGCCTATTTCTTGATCGGATTTTTTGTTTTTTGGGTGTTGAGTTTGATAAGTTCTTTATAGATTTGGACACTAGCCCTTTATCTGATAGGTCATTTGAAAATATCTTCTCCCATTCTGTAGGTTACCTTTTAGTTTTGTTGATTGTTTCCTTTGCTGTGCAAAAGTTTTTTATCTTGATGAAGTACCAATAGTTCATTTTTACTTTTGTTTCCCTTGGCTCTGGAGACATGTCTAGCAAGAAGTTGCTGCAGCTGAGGTCAGAGGTTGCTGCCTGTGTTCTCCTCTAGAATTTTGATGGATTCCTGTCTCACATTTGGGTCTTTCATCCGTTTTGAGTCTATTTTTGTGTATGGTGTAAGAAAGTGGTCCAGTTTCATTCATCTGCTTGTGGCTGTCCAATTTTCCCAACACCATTTGTTTAAGAGACTTTTTTCCATTGGATATTCTTTCCTGCTTTGTCAAAGATTAGTTGACCATAGAGTTGAGGGTCCATTTTTGGGTTCTCTATTCTGTTCCATTGATCTATGGATCTATCTGTTTTTGTGCCAGTACCATACTGTCTTGATTACAGCTTTGTGATACAGCTTGAAGTTTGGAATTGTGATCCCTCCAGCTTTGGTTTTCCTTTTCAACATTCCTTTGGTATTTGGGGTCTTTTCTGGTTCCATACAAATTTTAGGATTATTTGGTCCAGCTCTGTGAAAAATGCTGGTGGTATTTCAATATGGATTACATTGAATGTGTAGATTGCTTTGGATAGTATAGACATTTTAACAATATTTGTTCTTCCAATCCATGGGCATGGAATGTTTTTCCATTTATTTGTGTCATCCTCAATTTCTTTCATAAATGTTCTATAGTTTTCAGAGTACAGATCTTTTACCTCTTTGGTTAGGTTTATTCCTAGGTATCTTACAGGTTTTGGTGCAACTGTAAATGGGATTGATTCCTTGATTTCTCTTTCTGCTACTTCATTGTTATTGTATAGAAATGCAATAGACTTCTGTGCATTGATTTTCTATCCTGCCACTTTGCTGAATCCCTGTATGAGTTCTAGCAATTTTTTGGTGGAGTCTTTTGGGTTTTCTACATAGAGTATCATGTTGTTTGTGAAGAATGAAAGTTTGATTTCTTCTTTGCCAGTTTGGATGCTTTTTATTTCTTTTTGTTGTCTGATTGCTGAGGCTAGGACTTCCAGTACTATGTTGAACAACAGTGGTTAGAGTGGATATCCCTGTCGTGTTCCTGACCTTACGGAAAAAGCTCTTAGTTTTTTCCCCTTGAGGATGATATTTGCTGTGGGTCTTTCATATATGGCTTTTATGATGTTAAGGTATATTCCCTCTATCCCTACATGGTGGAGGGTTTTTATCAAGACAGGATGCTGTATTGTGTCAAATGCTTTTTTTGCACCTATTGAGAGGATGATATGGTTCTTATCCTTTCTTTTATTAATGTGGTGTATCAGTTGATTGATTTGTGGATGTTGAACCACCCCTGAAGCCCAGAAATAAATCCCACGTTGTTGTGAATAATCCTTTTAAAGTACTGTTGGATCCTATTAGCTAGTATCTTGGTGAGATTTTTGCTTCCAGGTTTATCAGGGATATTGGTCCTTAATTCTCCTTTTTAGTGGGGTCTTTGTCTGGTTTTGGGATCAAAATCCAAATGTTTTTGCTGGCCTCATAGAATGAGTTTGAAAGTTTTCCTTCCATTTCCATTTTTTTGGAACAGTTTCAGAAGAATAGGTATTAATTCTTCTTTAAATGTTTGGTAGAATTCCCCTGGGAAGACATGTGGCCTTGGATTATTCTTCATTGGGAGATTTTTGATTTCTGATTCAATTTCTTTGCTGGTTATGGGTCTGTTCAGGTTTTCTATTTCTTCCTGTTTCAGTTTTTGTAGTTATTATGTTTCTAGGAATTTATCCACTTCTTCACATTGCCTAATTTGTTGCATATAATCACCCATAATATTCTCTTATAATTGTATTTCTGTGGTGTTGGTTGTGATCTCTCCTCTTTCATTCATGATTTTATTTATTTGGGTCTTCTCTCTTTTCTTTTTGATAAGTCTGACTAGGGGTTTATCAATTCTGCTAATTCTTTCAAAAAACCAGCTCCTAGTGATCTCTTCTACTGTTTTTTTTTTTTTTAAGTTTCTATATTATTGATTTCTGCTCTAATCTTTATTATTTCCCTTCTCCTGCTGGGTTTAGGCTTTGTTTGCTCTTATTTTCCAGCTCTTTTAGATGTAAGGTAACATTGCGTATTTGAGACTTTTCTTGCTTCTTGAGGAAGGCCTGTATTGCTATATACTGCCCTCTTAGGACTGCCTTTGCTGCATCCCAAAGGTTTTGAACTGTTGTGTTTTCATTTTCATTTGCTTCCATGTATTTTTTAATTCTTCTTTAATTTCCTGATTGACCCATTCATTCTTTAGTAGGATGTTCTTTAACCTCCATGTATTTGTGGTCCTTCTAAATTTTTCCTTATGGTTGACTTCAAGTTTCATAGCATTGTGGTCTGAAAATATGCATGGTATGATCTCAATCTTTTTGTACCAGTTGAGGCCTGATTTGTGACCCAGTATGTGATCTACTCTGGAGAATGTTCTATATGTACTCTAAAAGAATGTGTATTCTGTTACTTTAGGATGAAATGTTCTGAATATATCTGTTAAGTCCATCTGGTCCAGTGTATCATTCAAAGCCCTTGTTTCCTTGATCTTCTGCTTAGATGGTCTGTCCATTGCTGTGAGTGGGGTGTTAAATTTCCCTACTATTAATGAGTTTCTTTAATTTTATTATTAATTGATTTTTATATTTAGCTGCTCCCAAATTATGGGCATAAATATCTACAATTGTTAGATCTTCTTGTTGAATAATACCTCTTCATTATGATATAGTGTCCTTCTTCATCTCTTATTATAGTCTTTCGTTTAAAATCTACTTTGTTATAATGCTGGCTACTCCAGCTTTCTTTTATGTCCATTAGCATGATAAATTGTTCTCCACCCCCTCACTTTCAATCTAGGGGTGTCTTTGGGTCTAAAATGAGTCTCTTGTAAGCAGCATATTGATGGGTCTTCTTTTTTTTAATCCATTCTGATATCCTATATCTTTTGATTGGAGCATTTAGTCCATTTACATTCAGAGTAATTATTGAAAGATATGAATTTAATGCTATCGTATTACTTGTAAAGTCGCTGTTCCTGTAGATATTGTCTGTTCTTTGTTACTTTTGGTCTCTCTCTCTCTGCTCAAAACGTTCCCTTTAATATTTCTTGCAGAGCTGGTTTAGTGTTCATGAATTCCTTTAGTTTTTGTTTGTCTTGGAAAATCTTTGTCTCTCTTCCTATTCTGAATGACAGCCTTGCTGGATAAGGTTTTCTTGGCTGCATACTTTTTTCCATTTAGCATGTTGAATATATCATGCCAGTCCTTTTTGGCCTGCCAGGTTTCTGTGGACAGGTCTGCTGCCAGCCTTATGTATCTACCCTTGTAGGTTAAGGACCTCTTGTCTCAAGCTGCTTTCAGGATTTTCTCTTTATCTTTGTAATTTGCAAGTTTCACTATAATATGTTAGGTGTTGATCTATTTTTGTTGATTTTGAGGAGAGTTCTCTGTGCCTCTTGGACTTGAAGACCTGTTTCCTTCCCCAGATTAGGTAAGTTCTTAGTTATAATTTGTTCAAATAACCTTCTGCCCCCTTTTCCTGCTCTTCTTCTTCTGGGACTCCTATAATACGGATTTTTTTTTTTTTTGCCTTATGGAATTACTGAGTTCCCTAAATCTACCTTCATGATCTAATAATTTTCTTTCCTTCTTCTTTTCAGCTTCATTATTTTCCATAATTTTATTTTCTATATCATTTATTCACTCTTCTGTTTTGTTCATCCTTGTTTTTATGGCTTCCACTTGGGACTGCATCTCGGTTTTAGCATTTTAAATTTCAGCCTGACTAGATTTTAGTTCTTTTATCTCCATAATAAGGGATTCTCTAGTGTCTTCTATACTTTTTTCAAGCCTAGCTAGTATCTTTATAATCATTGTTTTAAATTCTAGTTCAGACATCTGACTTATATCCATATTGATTAAATCCCTAGTTGTGAATGCTACCTCCTGTTCTTTCTTTTGGGGTGAATTTTTCCATCTCGTCATTTTGTCCAGAAAAGAAAGGAAGAAAGAAAAAGAAAACAACAACAACATCAATAAAACTTCAGGAAGTGTTTCTGGTGTGTGCTGTATACACTCTGCTATTGCGTTTTGGCTGCTTTTCCCCACTGTTCCATCCTTTACAGAGTTCCTCCTCGCTTGCAGTGGGGAGTGTCTGGACTTTTAACTAGGTGTGCTTTGACTTGTTTGTTAAGATAAACCTGGAAAAGAAAAGAAAAGAAAACAACAACAAAAAAACCTGATCCAAGACAAAAGGAAAAGGAACAAAATTGCAAACAAAAGGACAAACAAAAAACCATAAGACTGACTCCAAAGAATAAGACAGAAAGAAGGAAAAAAGAGTAAGGAAAGAAGAGAAAAAGAAATAAGAAGCCTGATCTGAAAAACAAGAAAAAGAAACCAACCAACCAACCAACAAATGAACAAAAAATTATAAGCCTGATACAAAAAAAAAAAAAAAAAAAAAAAGATAAAGATAAAAAGAAAAGAAAAAATATAAAATAAAAGATAAAAAAATAGGGGTGCCTGGGTGGCTCGGTTGTTAAGCGTCTGCCTTCGGCTCAGGTCATGATCTCAAGGTCCTGGGATCAAGCCCCACATCAGGCTCCCTGCTTAGCAGGGAGCCTGCTTCTTCCTCTCCCTCTGCCCCTGCTTGTGTTCCTCTTTTGCTGTATCTTTCTCTGTCAAATAAAATCTTTAAAAAAAAAGATAACAAAGAAGAAATAGAAAAATAAAACATTTAAAATGTTAAGAAGAAAAAAAAAGAAAAAAGTAAGCCTGGTCTTACTTCCACAGAAACTGACATTTTAGAGCAATCTTTAAGCAGTAGACTTGGTACATGTGGGGGGCCTGTGTTGGTCTTCTGAAGGAGAGGCCTGCTGGGCTGGCTCACAAGCTGACTTGTCCTTGTATAGATGTCCTTTCCAGGTGCAGGGGGCATGAGGTTTAGTGTAGGGGACTCTGGCCTCCACTGTGTCTCTCTCTGAAGTCTGACTGTGCTGGTGGGTGTTGGAGGGTGTGGGGATGGAGGAGGAAGATGGCATTACCTGCTCTCTTATCCCTGGGGAGGGGAATTCCTGGCCACCACTGTTTGGAGGCCCTCACAGAAAAGGGAACTGAGTCCCGGGATTTTGTTAGTTCCCTGCCCTTAACCTGTCTGTGCCCAGGCTATCCACATGCTCAGCACCACAGATCTCCTGTATTTTATCTCCTCTCAGAGGAGAGATTTGTGGTGCACCCAGCACCATCCTGTCCCAGAAAAGCAGTTGCACAGTGTGCACACAGAGGCTAAAGTTTATTGTGATGCACAGCAAAAAGCTGCAACCAGGTTATCTGCCATCTGCATGAGACTTAGTCCCCTACTCCATTCTGTCCCAGAAAAGCAGCCACACAAAGGGGCTTGAATGTATTGTGGCAGACAGCGAAAAGCAGTAGCCAGGTTCTCTGCAATTTGCACCTGTCTCTGCTCTCTCCCCAGACCTGTCCCAGAAAAACAGCCATTCGGCAAGCACATGGTGGTTTAGGTCTAATGTGACTCACAGTGAAAAGCTGCTACAAGGTTATCTGCCCTCTGCACACACCTCTGTCCCTGATGTTAAGCAACCTAACCACTGTGCTCTCTCCTGCTCTTTCCTGCTCCATGACTTTGTTCCACAAAAAGGGTTCCCTCCCTTTTGTGGCCCCACAGCTTTCCTCTCCCACAATTCACAGCTCCAAACCTTGCATCTGCCACGTTCTTTCCCTCCAACTGTGCAGATTGTTTTCTTAATCCTCAGCTCCTATTCCTAGTTGTTCAAAATAGTTCAATGTTGATCCAGCTGTGTTCAAGGGACAGGCAAGCTCAGGGTCTTAGTACTATTCTGCCATCTTAACTCATCCCCATTTTGCTAATATTTTTGAGGATTTTTGCAACTATATTCATGAGAGATATATGTATGTAGGTTTCCTTTCTTGTAATGTCTTTCTCTAGTTTTGATATTATGGTAATGTTGGCTTCATAGAATCAGTTAGGAGATGTTCCCTCTGCTACTATATTCTGAAAAAGATTGTGGAGACTTGGTATCATTTCTTCCTTAAATGTTTGGTAGAATTCACCAGTGAAACCATATGGGCCTGGTGCTTTCTGATTTGGAAGGTTACTTATAATCGATTCAATTTCTCTAGTAGATATAGGCCTACTCATATGATCTATTTCTCCTCGAGTGAGTTTTGGTCCATTTCATCTAGATTATCAAATTTGTGGGCATGGAGTTCACAATTTTCCTTAATTATTCTTTTAATGTCTATGGGAATAGCAGTGAGAGTCCCCTTCAATTTCTATTAGTAATTTATGTCTTCTCTGTTCTTTTCTTGGTTAGCCTGGCTAGAGCTTAATCAATTTTACTAATCTTTTCAAAGAATTAACTTTTGGTTTTATTTCCTGTGTTCAATTTCATTGCTCTCCGCTCTAATTTTTATTATTTCCTTTCTTCTGATTGCTTTTAATTAAATTGCTCTTTTTTCTCTAGCCTCCTAAAGTGGAAACTTAGATGACTGGTTTTAGATCTATTTCTTTTCTAATATATGCATCTAATGTTCTAAATTAACTTCTAAGCACTGCTTTCTCTGAATCCTACAAATTTTGATAACTTAAATTTTCATTTTTTTTTTCAGTTCACAATATTTTAAATTTATTTTAACACTTGTTCTTTGGCAATGTGTTATTTATTAGTGTGTTACTTAATCTCCATATATTTTGAGATTTTCTAGCTGTTACCGATTTGTAGTTTATTTTATCTATTTATTATTTATTTTTATTTTTTTTTAAGAGAGAGAGAGAGTCTTAAGCAGGCAGAGTGCAGAGCCTGACCTGGGGCTTGATCTCACCACCCTGAGATCATAACCTGAGCTGAAATCAAGATTCAGCTGCTTAACCAACTGAATCACGCAGGTGCCCCTTGATTTGTAGCTTAATTCCATTGTGGACTGTGAATACACTTTGTATGATTTCTATTCTATTTTTCTTTTTAAAGATTTTATTTATTTATTCATGAGAGAGAGAGAGAGAGGCAGAGAGAGAGAGAGGCAGAGGGAGAAGCAGGATCCCAAGGAGCAGGGAGCCCAATGCGGGACTCGATCCCAGGACCCTGGGATCATGACCTGAGCCGAAGGCAGACACTTAACCACCTGTGCCACCCAGGAGCCCTGATTTCTATTCTTTTTTAAATTTGTTAAGGTGTGTTTTATGGTCCAGAATATGATTTGTCTTGGTAAATGTTCCATGTGAGCTTGGTTAGAATGTGTACTCTGCTCTTGTTGAATGCAGTATCCTATACATGTCAATTAGATCAAGCTGATAGATGGTACTGTTCAGGTCAACTATATCCTTGCAATTTTTTTTGCCTGATTGATCTATCAAATACTAAAAGAGTTGTTGAAGTCTCCAACTATAGTAGAGGATTTGTATGTTTCCTTGCAGTTCTATCAGTTTTTGCCCCCATATTTTAATATTCAGTTGTTAGATGTATACACATTAAAGATTATTATGTCTTCTTGGAGAATTAATCCCTTTATCATGTAACGCTTCTCTTTATCCATGATAATTTTGTTTGTTCTGAAGAGTGTTTTGTTTGACATAAATATAGCTACACCATCTTTATTTTGATTAGCATTAGCATGTTATATATTTCTCTATCCCTTTAAGCTTAGCCTATCTATGCCTTTACATTTAAAGTAGGTTTCTAGTAAGTAACACATATTTGGTATTGTTATTTTATCTACTGTGACACTCTTTGTCTTTGATTGCTATATTTAGATCATTCACATTTAAAATAAGTTTTGAGGGGCACTTGGGTGGCTCATTCGGTTAAGCCTCTGCCTTGTGTTCTTTCTCTCTCACTCTCTTCGTCTCTCTCTCAAATAAATAAATAAATAAAATCTTAAAAAAATAAAAAAAAAGATTGATATAGTTGGATTAATAACTACCCTGTTTGTGCTTTCTATTCATTGTACTTGTTTCTTCTTTTCTTCCCCCTCTTTTCTGTTTTCTCTGCTTTAATTAATTTTATATGCTTCCATTTTCTCTTTCTTCTCTCTTAGAATGTGAATTATGCCTGTTTTCTTGCAATTTTTTCTTTCTAGTGTTTCCCTGGAGTTGCAATACAAATTTACAATTAATCTAAATCAGCTTTCAAATATTGATTCATAGGTAGTGCAGATACCTAGCAATAATGTATTATCAATTTCTCCCTTCCATACCTTATGACTTTATTGTTACTCAGTTCACTTATCCACAAACAATAATCACCCAATACATTATTACTATTGTAACTGTGAACAGCACTTCTCTAATGGATCAATTAATAATAAGAAATAATTTATTTTGCTTTTACTTGTTCCTTTTTCTATGTTTTCCCTTTCTTTATGTAGATCTGTTTCTGACCTATGTGATTTTCTTTCTCTCTTAAGAACATGTTTTAACATTTCTTCTAGGGCACTTCTGTGGGCAATGAATTCTCTGTTTTTGCTTGCCTCAGAAAAATCTTTATTTCTCCTTCACTTTATTATTATTAATTATTATCATTATTATTATTATTATTTTAATTTGGTATTAAAAAAATGTGCCCAACATGGGGCTTGAACCCAACCCTGAGATCAACAGTCACACGCTCCACTGATTGAGCCAGCCAGGCACCCCTCCTTCACTTTATAAAATAATTTTGCTGGATGTAGAATTCTAGGTTTTTTTCTTTCAACACTTGAAATATTTCACCCCACTTTCTTCTTGAAAGCAGTGATTTCTGATGATAAGTATGCCATAAATCCTGTCCTCATTGTTTTATAAGTAAAAGGTATCCTCCTCCACTCCTGCAACCTTATTTCAGCTTCTTTCACGTTTCTGCAGCTTGCATTTGATATTTGTAGATATTTTGTTACTTAACCTGCTTGATATTCTCTAAACTTCCTGGATCTAGATCTGTGGTTTGGTGTCTGTCATTAATTTTGGGAAATTCTTGGCTATTATTACTTAAAATATTTCCTCTACTCTGTTCTCTCTTCTTCTGGTATTCCAATTTTGTGTATGTTAGACCATTTGAAATTGCTCCAGAGTTCTTGGGTATTATGTCTCATCTTTTTTATTCTTTTTCCTCTTGCACTTTAATTTGAGAAGTTTCTACGGATATATTGTCAAGCTCACTGATTCTGTCCTTGGCTGTGTCCAGTCTACTTATGAATCCATCAAAGATGTTCTTCATTTCTGTTACAGTGTCTTTGTAACATTTCCTTTTGATTCTTTCTTAGAGTTTTCAGCTCTGCTTCCAATGTTTTATTGTTTTTATATGTTGTCTACTTTTATCACGAGCTCCCTTAACCTATTCATCATAGTTATTTTAAACTCATTATAATTAAATCTGTGCCACAGCTGATTTTGATGCTCACTTTGTCTTTTCAGAATCTATTTTTTCTTTACTTTTATCATGCTTTGTAATTTTTTGTTGCTGTTGAAAGTCAGACATGATGTTTCTGGTAGTAGACACAGAAGTAAATAGAACTTTAGTGTGTTAGTCTAAGACTTGGGCTGTGTTTAATGTTTGCTATAGCCGTAAGTGCCAGAGGTTTTGATTTCCTTTAGTGTCTTTGTTTTTCTTTCCCTTTTATCGTTGAGTTTCCCTAAGAACTCCTTAAATAACATCCATGTCTTGTAACTCTCTCAGTTAATCTAGTATTATACTGGAACCCTGTTGATGGGGTGGGAGGTGTGGAGACAGGGATGAGTTCTATAATCATATGGTTAAATCTCCTCTGTCTCTAGTCTGTGAGACAGGAAACGTAGCAAGAGGGCTACAGTTGAGTAACTTCCTTTTCCCCACATCTGTAAAGCTCTGGTAAAGTCTTTTCCCTTTCCAAGAAGGTCTGTGTTGTTGAGAATGCTCTGGGTGTATATAACAATTATTATTTTGTCACTCTTTTTTCCAAAACACAAGGGTTTTTCTTGGCTTTTCACTATTGATCTCATTCATCTTTGAGTCTCTATCAGCTAACACAACCAACACTGAGTGAATAATGTATACATCTGTAGTACAAATAAATCAGTGAATAAAGGTTATATCCATAAAGATAGTTTAGAATAAAAAGTAGAAAGTATTTGCATCTCAACACTGGTGAGTGCACTCAAAATGCAGGGCAATTTAAAATTTATATTCATTAAACAGAGGCAAAAATGTTAATTTTTGCTAATTTATAAAATGGGAAAATAGTGGTGCTTTGCACAGTTCTTTCAGGTTGGCCCTCCCTCTGGTCTGGCTCCAGAGGCTCTGCTTCCACTCCTTCCTGCTCACAACATTCTACTGTATTCCCTCTTCTTGGTCAGTAGTTTCTAGTCCTGGTGACCTTGAACCTCTCCCTTTCCATCTTAATCCTGGGTCCTTTCCATTTCTGCATCACTGGCCAAATTCATATCTAATTCCTTATTAATTCCTGTTCTCCATCTCATTGAGGTTTTCTTTTTAAAGTATTTTAAAATGTATTTAATATATGGTAGAGATTTTACATACCTCCATGCATGTTAAACCTACTTAGGTCATTTATAATGAAGGCTAAAACAACTAGGGATACAATGCCCTGTGGAAATCTCATAAATTAAAGTAGCTAAAACTGAAGTATTAAAATCCTACCAGTTCATAAATGTTTTCAGATCTCCTAGCCTAGGGGAAGGAGAAAATTGAATTAAATTAAATTAAATTAGAGTTACACTTTTTACTCTCTCCTGAGTAAGTGGCAGAAATGATGTTTTTGCAGAGATGAATAGAAGACAACACGAAGCCTTAGTAAATTCTTCTCTTTATTTGAACGACTGCATACCAGGTGACTTCTCTGGTGATCTCTGTTAGAACAAGACAGGGCTGCGTAATAAAGCTCCCACGTGCTGTTATGGACTCAAATAATTGAGTCACAACCAAAGGAAAGTAACACTTACCAGAATGCATTTGCTTTAAACAACAAAGACAATGAGAAATCCAGGTGTTGAGTCACTAAGAAAAATGAACACATACACAAACACAACAAAATCCAAAACTATTTTCATTTTTTAATGTTATCCTTTATATTTTAAGAAGTTGATGTTTTTCTTCTATAGTTTTACATTGCACTCTTATTAGTGTACAATTGCAAACTTGTATTTTGTTGGGTTCAGCACTGATGAAATGATTCTATCATTTAATTCTATTTGTCCCTAGGATATAATATGAGACCACGGAAGGTCATTAATAGGACATAATGTAATGAGATCAAAGGGACACCAGTCTCACTTGGTGGATGGCTCCTTAAAAGAAAACCTGAGGAGACAGCATGCCCTCACTCATTGTGGCACCCAAAGACCAGTTTCCTGACTATACTGGCATTATTAATATTCTATTTCTTTTCATTAAGCAGTGACACAGTGAGTATTTGGATACTGTCTATGTTACAACGAGAATAACAAAAGAAGGACTGCTACCATGGAAACCTACCTGATGGCCTTTGTGGTGAGCTTCTTGCTACTTGAATGCAAGCAAACTCCATACAACAAAGAGCCGATCAATGTTAGGCATAAAGCTTCTATGCAAGAGCACTGATTATTAACTTTAATGAATGCCTTCAACATTGCAATCCAAGGCAGCATTATTCTTGTCCAACCTCATTATTAGATAAGCACAGGGGAACTTGCATTAAGATATATTTTGGATTGCAAAGCAAGAACCAATTTAGGGCCATCTCCCACTATTTGTTTCTTGTAAAAACAAGCTATATAGTTAGTTTAAAGATGGATGCACTTAGAAATAAACTATTAAAAGCAAACTAAAAAGCTGGACTGTTGCCAGCTACATTTCAATAGATCAACCTCACTTAATTTGTATGTGTCAGATATTTCTTCCTCTACACAGTGCTTTCCTCAGAGGAAAATTCATTCAGAGGCTTGGAGCATACAATGTTTTAAATATAGCTGTATTTTCTGTGTGGTTATTTTACAGAAGGATTTATTTGGTCACATTCAGGCAATATCCCTATTAACCCAATATGCAATTAAAATCCAGATTTTTCATAATTTAATAATTTTGGGGAGTATACACAGCCAAAATTTTAATTGAGTTAACAAAATGGAATAAAAAATTAAGTTGACAAAATTGATGGTAATGGGGCAGGCATATTACTAATAGTTTTCTTTCTTTTGGAAAACCACTTTAATCCTCTTCAATATCAATTAAGAGGTTATCTCTAATACTAGACTGTATTTGAGATCCTGGTTAGTACTCTATTCTTTCTATCTGTGGTCACCTGAGTGCCACTTTCCAATTTTGCTCTAGAAATCTTCATTCAAGAATGGAACAGCAAATGTGGACAAAGAAAGAAAGTGGGAGAATTGATAAGCTAATATTTCTGAAAAATTTATTTTTAACTTTGACGGGAAACTTGTTCAGAACTACAAATATATATGTTTTGACAAATACTCCAATTCTCCTTTATTTTTAAAGGTGTGAAATTCATCTGGAAAGAGTTGCAATGGCCATTGTGTTGGAAAGACATCCACATTACTGTCCTGCCCTAGTTCTTACCATCTTTGACCCTCATGGATTCATGGTTTTGAAAGTATTCATCATTCATTCATTTATCCCTTCAAAATTTACTGGGCCCCAGTTATGCACCAGGCACTGTCTCAGGTGTTGGGGATAATTTGGAGAATGTCTTAGTAGTTCCTGCCCACAAGCTTATAGTCCAGTGGTGGTGCAGGGGTGAGGTTTCAAAATAATGCTGTAAGTGCTATGATGGGGTGATTAGGCATGCCATGGGAATACTTGAAAGGGGCACCTAACACCAACCAGAGTGTCAGGGATGGTTTCCTGGGTGAAGTGACATCTGATCTGAGACTCAAAGATAGATGGTAAGTGGAGGTAAGTCCTGGAAGCAAATGGTCCCCACAGAGAGAAGGAGTGAGTGAGACCAAGTTCAAGGAAATAGAAGAAGTTTAGTAGAACTGGTATATGGAGTTCTGAGGAAGAGGCAGAGCTCACTTCAAAGGGATTTGTGTGCCATAAAATTTTATGATAGTGCAGCATTATTTTGTGATATCAAATCTAACCAGGCTTCCCTGTGCCCCAAAATCTTTACACTTCCCTCTAAGCTCTTTCTCCCTTTAACTATACATCCACACTTCCATCTTTAGCCGAAAAGCTGGAAACAACCCCAAAATGTCCATCAATTGATGAATGGATAAACCAATTGTACTTTATCTATACAATGGAATGTTATTTGGTTATAAAAAGGAATGTAGTGCTAATACATGCTACAACATGGATGAATCTTAAAAACATCATGCTGAGCAAAAAAAGCCAGACACAAAAGGCCACATATTGTATGGTTTCATTTATATGAAATATCCAGAAGAGGCAAATCCATATAGACAGAAAGTAGAGTAGTCATTTCTAGAGGCTGGAGGGAGGGGAGAGTAGGGAGTGACTGCTTAAAAGGTACAGGGATTCTTTTGGGGTTGATAAAAATGTTCTGGAATTAATAATAGTGATGGTTGTACAGCCTCATGAATATTCTTAAAACCACTGGATTGTATGTAAATTTTATGTCTACAAAAATCCAACAAGTTACAGGTGCAGATGAAACAAGTTTGGCAATATATTGATAATTACTGAAGTTAGGTGATGGGTAGTAGGGTTTATTGTATCAGTCCCTCTTAAAAAAAGCAAAACAAGCAAACCAAAAAACGCTTTCATGTGACAAAGACAATAGAAGCCAAGAGATAACAACTCACCCAGCTTGTTGTCACCAAACATTAATGTTTGCTTACAGTCTCTTCTTATTCATTCATTTTTGTGTTTAACACATGCTTTGAGCCAAACATTTTGCTAGGAGATGGGGATATTGCAATGAACACAAGAGGCATAACTCCTACCCTCAAAACTTTGCCATTGGAAGGAAAGCCAGACAATAGAGTGACAGGTGAGGGAAGGACATGGTGTGAATGTCTTGAGGCATGAGAGAACGTGGTGTGTCAGGATGGAAAGAAGTCAAGTACGACTGAAGGGTAGAGGGCGAGCAAGCAAGGGCAGGAGATGAGGTGGCATAGTTAGGCAGGGGTGAAATTATACAGGGCCTCTGAGGCCACTAAGTGTTTCAGGACTGAAAAGCTCTCCAGATGCTGTCTCTTCTTCAAGGCCAGTTCTTTTTCATCTGTGTAGGCAGGAAATCAAAGTATCAAGAAGAATGGAGAAGTCACTGTTCTTTCCCTCAATAGTGGCTCAGGCATGAGCAAAGATGTCTTCTCTGCTAAGGATGATAATCAGTGTGCCTGGTTGCTTTCTGTTATTTATTGCTCAAAACAACAGGATGTCATGGTAGGTATGGGACAGAGGGAGAATCATATGGATGGTGAACCCAGACAAGAGAGGTGTCTGCCATCAAAGAATGCTATTGAATGTGGCTCTCTTCCTACTGGGTGGGGTGGGGAATGTGACACTGCACCTTTGGCAGTGATTCCTGTAGCCCCTGAGAAACACCATGTTCTTCTTCAGTGAAGCTCCCTTGAGCTTCAAGGCCTTCTGTCACAGATCCTATTTGACATCTCCCGTAGCCCAGCTGTGCATGTTGCTATTCTGACTGTGCCGTCACCGTATAGCCTCTGGTCATACACAGGTGGGTGTACAGACTTGGGTAATGGTGTCCCCTGTCACCCACACAATGCCCATTTATGAGGGTTACACCTGGTCCCTGTTAGCTTATTTCTGAACCCAGCTAGCTGAGACTTGGACGAATATTTCTAACGGTTGTGAGAAAAAGATGTCATAACGGCACTATCACAGAAGAGAAAGAAATGGTACATGGCATCAGGGGAAGTAGTACCACCTTATCCTGGATGTCCAACAGGAGGTACCGCTGCTCATCGCCCTCTCTGGAGAACAGAACTAAGCTCCCTGAGGCCAGCTCATTTCCCTCTGGAGGGAGAGGGTCTTAGACCCAGAAGCTCTTGCTAGCCACCCTTCCTAGGCATGGAATCATGGCATTCACAAGAACACCTCTGATGTAACCATAAGATGTGATGCTATATTGGGAAAGGCCTAGATGCCAATACGATGTGTAGCACGTGGTGGTGGTATTACCAAGTAGGCCAGTGTGGCTGACTTTAGAATGCAGATGTCACAGCCCCGGAGCCAACTACAGTAAAATTAAGATTACCAGTCCTCTGATTGCAATTATAGCATCTGGCTACCCCTTTGACCTCCCAGCAGATGTGGATGAGCAGGTAGAATTCCAGTGAGTTTGGCCTGTTGGCCATTGCAAATGCCTTTAAATGGGCTGCTAGCAGATACACAGCACTTTTCTGTACGAGTTAGTTCACCGTACAGGTTGGCCCTGGCAGAGGACACATCTCGTTAGTCTTATCTACCTGGAACATGCCGTCTTAAAAAGACACCTGTCCTTGTCTGACAGGAAGGCAAATAGCACTATTTAACATCATACTCAAGTTAGTATTTTTTGATAATATGTTTTCTGAAATTCTCTACATATGTTTGGTTTAAAGTTTATACATTCGGTTGGGCATTCTGTGTGACAAAGGGAGCTTAAGGGGGATGTGTTTATGGAAGGGACTTGGCCTGATGTGATGGTGTTTGGCTGACTGACAATTTCATGTGAGCTGTTAGCTCTTCTGGGGCCTGACTGGAGCTACACATAGTACTAATGGCAATTCCTGGATTTCTCAAGAGGCTGGCAAGACTTTATGAATGAACTGTCACTTCTTTCTTGCAGTCTTCCAGCAGAGCTAGGAAATACAGCTAATCCAAGCCTTCAAACTCCATTTTCCTTCTCATCCAATGTGTTTTCAGCAGAAGAGCACAGGGCTTAAACAACTCATTATAGTTGCAAAACAATTTGTGTATTTGTACCTGTAAATTTATGCATTGTCTTAATTTATGTAAGATTTTTGTGTGTATTTCTCAGCTTTTAAGGATGACTTACACATCTTTTTTTTCTACTGTTACGTGAGACTATCACAGCCCAAGGATACGTCATGGCATAAGGAAAAATAAAAGTGCTACCCAAAAAGAAAAAAAAGAACCCCAGACAGGAAAAAACAAACTATTGAAGGGTTGTAAGTAGGAAGATTGACATGATCAGATTTGCATTTTAAAACACTGTGCCCATGAGGTGGAGAGGGGACAGGAGACAGTGTGAGAAAGGGAGTGAAGAGGGTTTGAGTGTGGGCAGGGTTAGATCACCAGGGCCTGCCAAGGAGAACATGAGGAGGATACCAGACAGAGCATGGCATCATGGGAAATGGGCAAACCAACCAACCAACCAACCAACCAACCAACCAACCAACCAATCAATCAAAGGAACACACACAAAACAGATTCAGAGAAAGATGTTGTAGAGAGGTAAAATAAAAGTAGTTCTGGTGGGAAGAGGAAAGGTAGAATTGAGCTCATTCTGACTGGAGGAGGGCAAGATGTGGACAGCTCCAAGTGCACTGAACTTCTTTGCCTGTGATTTGCCCTCTTGCTTCCAGGCCATCTCCTTTCTCTGCCTGACACACTTTTACCTTGGCCCTTTGTATGGCTAACACTTACTCACCCTCAAGGGCCAGCTCCCATGTCACTTCTTTTGGAGGCCTTTCTTGACCCTATGAGTCTGGGTTAGGGAAAGTTCCTCTGGAATTTCAGAGCCTTCTGTATTTCTACTATTATAAACAGCCCATATCAACTGTAAGGTAATTACTTTTTTATTTTTCTGTATCCTACAATAGACTGTCAGCTCCTTGAGGGCAGAGCTGAAGCTTAATACATTGTTTACCACCTGTACCTAGCACGATGCCTGACACATGGCAGGGACACAAACACTTATTTGAGAGAGTTAATGAATCTTGTCCTGAGTCTACATTGACCCAATCTTTCAGATTAAGGGAGAATTAAAATGTTATAATAACAATCAAACTAGTTCATTGTCTTTGAAAATTACTAGGAAAATGGGTCTACTTAAATGTATAAAGCCAAAGTTTTACGTGGTTATTTTAGACTAATTTTCTTTTGCCATTTCCTTTATATCTCAATCAAAGGTCATTTTGGCTGCAGATTTCTTTTCGCTCTTATGGCATAAACCATCAAATCTGGTACTGGGGCGCCTGGGTGGTGCGGTCGGTTAGGCATCTGACTCTTGGTTCCTGCTCAGGGCATGATCTCAGGGGTTGTGGGATTGAGCCCCATGTCACTTAAGACTCTCTCTCCCTCTTCATTTGCCCTCCCATCCCCTCCCCATGTGCACTCATTCATGCTCTCTCTCTCTAAAAATAAATAAATAAATCTTTTAAAAACACCCTCAAATCTTGTATAAATATGTCCTCATCTGAATTGTTTATTTTCAATCAATGTTTATTTTGTGCCTCAGGGGAAACCAACAATGCTGGGTGCTGTGGGAGACACAAATGTCTGCAGGCTGTGGAAACCTTCTGCTGAAGGTGAGACTGAGCAGGCTAATAGTCACTGTGAAGATGTGCATATAATCCCCTCCTGCAGCCACCAGAGAACATGTTCTGAACCTTCAAAATGCTTCCATACTCTCAAAGACACAGAGAAGGCTCACTTCAGGGAAATGAACAGGCTATAATTTGGCTAATAAATGGATCTTTCCTCTACTTGAAATGTTTTTATTTCATGACCTGGATCACCTCCCATACATGGAATGCCACTCTGGCAAGGAGTGCAGTCTGTGTGGTTCTTTCTAGAAGTCTATCAGCTTCAGTTGGCAATTTAAGTGAACCAAGCAGGTGGGAGAAGAGACAAGCTGAAATTCAATATTAGAGAAATGGGTGGTAGGAACATTGTAAACTACTTTATATGGTTACCATTGAGCTAAGTGTAAGGTAGGTGTGTGTGTATGTATATATATAATTTAAATTTTCCCTACTTTATCTGCTTGCTTTTAAAACTCATACACTGTCACAGTTTCTCTTATTAAGCAATCTATCTTAAGAATATTTTCTGACATTTTGATTGATATGATGTCAAAAGGAAATGTGTTTGTATTAACCCTTAGACAACTGTAGATAAGAAAGCTCTCTTTATTTTCTTTAAGACCAATTCAACTGCTGACCTTTCTCTTGCTCTAGATAGTGAAGGGAGAGGGTCTGGGGGGCAGGCTTTGAAAAAAAAATCAACCAAATAACCACATAACAACAACTGCTCTGACCTGTACCTCTAAAACAAATAATACATTATATGTTAAAAATAAGAAGATGGTAGGAAGGGAAAAATGAAGGGGGGGAAATCGGAGGGGTAGACGAACCATGAGAGATGATGGACTCTGGAAAACAAACTGAGGGTTCTGGTGGGGAGGGGGTTGGGAGGATGGGTTGGCCTAGTAGTGGGTATTGAGGAGGGCACGTCCTGCATGGAGCACTGGGTGTTATGCACAAACAATGAATCATGGAACACTACATCAAAAACTAATGATGTAATATATGGTGATTAACGTAACATAATAAAATAAAATTTAAAAAACAACAACAACAACTGCTTTTTAACTCCTTAGATGGAAATGAACAGGGCACTGCAGTAGTGTATTATAGAGAGCCTGAACCAAGTCTTGGGAGCCAGAGAAGGCCTCCCTGAGAAAGAGATAGTTGAGTTGAGAACTGAAGAATGAATCGAGTTTGGAATTAATAATTGTGGGGGCATGACTGAGGGGAGGTTGGGTGGAGGTATGAGGAAGGTGAAAGCTTTGAACTTAGAAGAAACAGATTGCTTTTAACCATTAGAGAGAAGGTCAGTGTGGCTGGAGCTAGCAAGCAAAGAGGGCAAAGGAGGACAAGGAGGCTAGAGAGGTCAGTGGGGCAAATGATGCAGGTCCTTGAAGCCATGCAAAGAAACTTTGGACTTTATTCCTAGAAGCAATGGGAAGTCACCCATACTTTCTGAGCAAGGGAGTGACATGGTCAGTGTGCTTTTAAAGTATCACCCAAGGATCCGGCAGATAGACAGGGGTGGTTGGGGGGGAGAATGCCAGTTCTCTGTGTGGTTTAGGAGAGGGATAACAGAAGCTGGGGCATGGTGTTGGCAGTGGAGAGGGAGCAAAGGGCAAAGATTCTTCAAGTACTTGGAAGTATAGAAGCCAGAAATTGGTGAAAGACTGTCTGTAAAATGCTCCAGAAAGATGGGTTGTGGGTGTCCCATAGATTTCTGGCATGAACACCTGGGTGGATGGCAATGCCCAGGGAATACAGGCTTGGGGTACAGTTGGGAAAGCAGCTACTGCTTGAGCTTGGTGTGCAGTTGCAAGCATGAGAAGCTTATGAGTAAGTATCAGCAGAGAGCACTGAGCTGAGGATCTGGGATGGAAGAAATTTCAAACACAGAGCTGATGGATTTACTTAGGGATAGTAGGTAGTAAGAGAAGAGGACCTCGGTTAAGAAGGCGGGTCCCGAGTTGAGTATTCTCACCACAATAAAATTTAAAAAGTTAATAAATAAAAAAAGAAGAAGACCGAGGGCTGGGCTCCAAAGTACTCCAGCATGGGGGTTTGGGTAGAGTGGGAAGAGCCTGCAGATGATGCTATGAGGGATCATTTTGAGAACGGGGAGGGAAATTGGGAGATTGTGACATCATCCAAGTCTGAGAAGACAGTGATTTAGGAAGGGGCTAATTTAGTATCAAAACTGCTGAAATATCAATGGAGGAGAGGTCTACAAAGCATTCAATGACTTCAGCAAAGTAGAAGTCACTGGTAACATCAACGAAGGTTTGCTAAAGTAATGCAGCTTAACTCCCATTGGAGTGTGTTCATAATGATAACAGTACACACTCCGGGCTCAGGCTTTACATCCACTAAAGATTAATGCTATGTTAATCATCACAACAACCCCATGAGGCAGGTGCTCTTATTACGTCATTCTACAGATGAGGAAGTGAAGGCACAGAGAGAGGTGGCGTGACTTGCCCAAAGTCATATTGTAGAAGAAGAACCCAAGCTCATTGGCTCACGAGTCATTTTTTTAGTCCTGTCTCTTAAATGTGCAAACAGGACTAGAGGCAAGGTAGACAACCCTGCAGAGAAGCTCGGCTGTGAGTAGGGAGACAGTGCAGTAGCTAGATGTAAAAAGGGGTGGTTCCAGAAGGGTAATTTGTGTTTAAGGTGGAATTAAGATGGAGAGTGTTCTAGTATTTATTGGAAGGACCTGTCAGTGGGACTGAAGTTCCAGGAGAATGGAATGATGATGGATGAAGAGCTGGAGCAGGGAGGAGCCAGAGTAGAGGGATGGTGCCCTGTTGGAAGGTATAGAAATTCCTCCCCTATTGTCATAAGAAGGGAGTGGGTACAGTAAGAATGTGTACAGGAAGAAATGGAAAGAATTCCTGTTTAAAGTCTTTTAGAGTCTCTGTGAAATACAAGGTCAGGCCATCAGCTGAGAGAGGACTAGGGAGTGTGAGCTGGAAGCGGAGGCAGGACTGGCAGAGCTGGTGGAGGAAATGCAAAGTAAAATTGCAAAGTAACATCAAGGACACAAGCAGCATCAAACTGGTGATTCCAGAAGACTACAGGGAAAAGAAGTGGTCATGTTGGTATGGATGTTGTGCTGGGAAGTGTGGGGTCATAACCACATAGAAGATGATTTTGGGGCAGGGGGCATGGTTAACAGCATATGGGGAATTCTAGTTCTTTATGTGCTCCCAGCAAGTCTGAGAACCAGCTGTTGGGGGTAGGAGAAGACGAAACTCAGAATAATAAATACTGGGAACTGAGATGGATTATACACCCAAGCCTTTTTTGTCCAGATGCAGATCTAAGAAACTGATTTAATCAACACCCAAGTGGGCACTCTGAGGGGCTGAGTGCAAGCCATACTCTCAGTTGGCAAGCCCTCCATTGTCCAGAAGATGAGAAAACAACAACTCATCTCAACAACGTGTTTGTAAAAATAAGCAGATCGGAATAATGGGAAAGCAATGACATTCTTGGCTCTCAGGGGAAAAGCAGAGCTTGGGAAATAACTTAATGTTCGAACTGTAAGAAATTTTCAGAAAATTCTTTAGCATTCTTAATAGGTTGTGAGGGGACAAAAAGCCCATGAAGCAGGACCAGAATCCATAAGAAGAGCAGAGGATAAAATGAAAATAAGGGTTGTGGGGACAAGGGAGAGAAAGAAATGGGACTTTCCCATATACTCCTCAGACAGTCAGGATTTTTGTGGTGGGAGGAAGGAAAGACACGATCATTTCCCAAGGGCCCCATGTGCTTGTTAGTCCTCACAGCAATTCTGTGGTGCAAGCGTTACTCCTTTTTTATTTATTTTATTTTTATTATTATGTTATGTTAATCACCATACATTACATCATTAGTTTTTCATGTAGTGTTCCATGATTCATTGTTTGTGTATAACACCCAGTGCCTGGTGATGGGTATTAAAGAGGGCACGTTCTGCATGGAGCACTGGGCGTTACTCCCTTTTTAAAGGTGGTAAAAATTAGGCTCAGAGAGGATAAGTGATCTGCTCAAACCAAGGAGAGGGAACTGAACAAAAGATGGTGTGACTTCAAGGATCTGAACCTCCACCTCCCAGAACAGGCACAAGAGGTTAATGAGGGAAGAAACATGGAGAAAGGGGCTGGGGTTAGGTTACTTTATGTCTGAGTATTCTTAGCATATAAACAGAACAACAATGGCTACAGGACTACATGCCAATTATGTGGCAGGTGTTTTACACACATTTTTCTTTCTTTCTCCCCCCCCCCTTTTTTTTTAAGAGAGAGAGAGCATGGGGATGGGGGGAGTGGCAGAGGGAGAGAGAGAATCTTAAGAATCTTAAGCAGGCACCACGTTCAGCGTGGAGCCTGATAACAGGGCTGGATCTCACCACCCTAAGATCGTGACCTGAACAGAAATCAAGAGTCGGACGCTTAACCGACTGAGCCACCCAGAAGCCCCTACACCCATTTTTCTGATTCTCACAGTAATCCTTCCTAAGTATCATGACCCTTTTTTTTTTCAGATGTGGAAATTGAGGCCAACAGAGACTAAGTGATTTGCCCAAGTGTGTAAGTATTCTACTGCTGCTATAATGCATTGCTACAAACGTTGTGGCTGAAAGCAACACACATTTATCTTACAATTCTGTAGGTTAGAAGTCCAACTCAGGGGGCTATAGTCAAGATGTTGGCAGGGCTGTGTTCTTTCTGGATCTGTCTCCTTGACTTCTCTAGCTGCTAGAAGCAGCCCACATTATTTGGCTCATCGTTCCCTTCCACTGTCTTTAAAGCTGGCAGCAATGGTTTGGGTCCTTTTCCTGTAATATCCAGCCAACCCCTTTCTCACAGTCCCGCTCCCCTCTAACCACATTGGGGAAACCAGATGATCAGCTTGGGCCCACTTGGATAATGCAGGCTAACCTCCCCACCCCAAGGTCTTTACTGTAATCACATTTGGTCAAAATTAAGTAGGAAATCCTATTGGCTCTATCTTCAAAATATATCCAGAATCCTTCTAGTTCTCACACTGCCATTTCTACCACCTTGGTCCAAGCCATACCACTGCCTACCAGAAGGGATTACTTCTATAGCCTTGTAATTGTTCTCCTGCTCCATCCTTGCCTCCAGTCCATTCTCAACATAGTAGCCAAAGTGATCCTTTAAAAATGTCTCAGATTATGTCAGTTTTCTGTTCAAAACCTTCCAATAACTCTTGATTTCAGTATGAACTAAGGACACAGTCTTTATATACCCTACGAGGCCTACATAATCCTTCCTCCACTCCAGGGGTCTCTGGTCACTCTCCCCTTGCTCAGCTCCAACACCTGGGCCTTCTGCCTGCATTGAACACACCAGGATTATTGCTGGAGTCTTGAGTGGGAGGGGGCTCTGTATTTTTGTTCTGCCTCCTCCTCCAGTACCTTGAAGTAGAATGGGAGGGCATAGCCTGGTTCTGGGATGTCTCTATCCTGGCCGGGGATCTGGGAGGGGAAATGGGAGGAAGATGAATATCTCCGGACTTCACTGCCCATGGCTGTGCAAGTGGTTTCTCCTTTTCCTCTGCTAATACCTACTCTCCACTGATAAATGTTATGAGGCTGATGTTTAGATGCCTACTTTTGCATGCGGTGCATATGTGTGAGGTTTGTAGGGATCTCTGAAGGGCTTCTCTACTTCAGAGGTTCCATATGTGGGAGACGGACTGGCTCCTGCTCATGGCAGTATGCTACAATCTCTTGCTGTTTGGAAACCCTTGCCCAGGGGCTGGCCTTCTTGGGTGGGCCACCATTAAGACAGCCCTGAGCCCAGTGCTCTACCTCAATGTCAAACCAGATCCACAAGAAACTCACCCATCTTTGCCACATACAAATGATGTGGTCATAGTCTGCCCTACAGCTGCCCCTCCCTCCACCCTGTCATACCCGTCCAATGCTCTTTTCCTTGCTCAGGCAGGAGGCAAATAAAAGTTAAGTCTCTTCCTAAGTTAGATTCCTGTCTTATACCTGATATTTACCAAGGATTCTCTTGGAGCCTCTTATACTTGGCTTTGGTGAATGTGGGGAGGCACTTCCTTCCCCAGTGGTTCCCCTAGACCCCAATTCAAGACTGCAAAGACCCTCTCCTTCTTCCTAGCCAGGCTGAGGAAAGAAGGTTAGGAAGATGGGCATGGCAAAGTGTGGATGGCTTTGGTCATGCGTAAGGGAACAGAGTGTTTGGGCTGTCTTTTATAAGCCCCCAAAAAGGCACCTCTCTTCAGAATGTGAGGCATATACCGCATTACTCTTTCAACTTGGTCCCTGTTCTCCACTGCCAGGAAATCAGGAAAACTTTCACGCACTGTTACAGATGTAAAAGTTATCAGCATAGGCAGTTATGATAGAGTGAAAGGTTCAAGTTGAACAGAGGAAAATGTCATCTGCTGGTCAGAGAACAACAGCATGTTGGCCAGTTTTGCTTAACTGGTGGCAGAAGCATACAATTAAGTAGGGGGACTTTACATGTGGTCTAAAATTTCCCTTTTTTTAGTGAAGAGGGTGTAAATTTTATGCTAAAAATTTTACTTGTTCATGGCTAAAAATTCTTTCCAAGACTTAAATTTGAGTACAATCTTATTTTTAAGATTTTTTTCTTGTGTTTTAAGAAACAATGTTTGTTTCCAGCACAAACTTGAGGAAATAAAGAAAAGTTTCAATAAGAAAGCAAAAAAAATAATCTGCAATTGCATAGCTAATTTATAATCAAGTTTGGTGGAGATAGAACTCTGATTTAGAGAAGTTTAAGACTATACCATGAAAGAAAGATTGCACTTCATCTTGATTTTACTGTTTTATTTTCTGTTTTGAGAAGTTGCACAATGGACACATTTGGGGTTAAGAGATTTGGAATACGAAATGTATCAAAAACCATTAGGGCCCAGAGACAACAGAAATCTCTCTTCTGCTTTAAATAAACTCACTGTAGTGAAAAGACTTGTTTATCCATAAGAAGAAACTCCTATGACTCATTTTCTCCCCTTCCCTAATGCCTCCTTACTCCTGTCTGTGCCTTGTATTTAGTGTTAGCATGTATTATGCATGGGCTCTGAGATCTCATGTGGGCTCTACTGAATAAGAACCACTGTGGGAGGGGGGAATGGACAGGGGCTGGAAGAAACCTTCTCAGGATAGAGAAGACCCACTGCTGAACCTTTGGGGATATACATTTCCTAGATCTGGGGTGGTTTTCCTCTATCTATGTCCTTCAGATTGAGAGGCAAAGCAGTAAGCAGTACCAGTACTATACAGGGAGACAAAGATGTGAGGTGCTGGGGGGCCACAGCCAAGGAACAGATTGGCTACCAGGAGGAGTCCTGCATAGGTAGAGTAAGGATATCTTCTTTTACAGAATTTGTCAACTAGAGGGTGACAGCAGTCAACATTCCATGATTTTTTTTTAATTTAAATTCAATTATCTAACATATAGTACATCATTAGTTTTTGATATAATGTTCAATGATTCATTAGTTGCATATAACATTCCATGATCTTAAAGCTCTGTTTTACTCAATCCCCCTTCAAGAATTCCTGATGGTACTTTTAAACTTAAAAAGCAAACAAAAGTGATATTTTCATATCCTTTAGGGCTATTTTGGGCTTTTAAAGTGATGAGTGTATGAGTGAGTGAAAGAGTGAAGAGTAAAAGTAAAAGCAAAAGGCTTACAGCATTGTAACTAAAATTCTCAAACCTTTGATAAGAAAAGAGTACGTGCTCTGCTACTATGTGTTGTCTTCAGAACAGTATGTATAGAACTACTAATACTAACATTACTACTACTACTACTACCACCATCAATAAAAGAAAATATAAAAATTTTTTACTGTGTGCCAGGCATTGTTCTATGGGTTCTATATACAGTAACTGCATTCTCACAACTGCCCCGTGAGGTCCTTGTCCCTATTTTATACCCAAGTAAGTTAGAGCTCAGAAAAGTTAAGTGAAGGAGTCAGAATTCTAACCCAGGAAGTGGCCTTAACTATTAGACATGCTGCTTCTGATGTATTGCTTCAAAACAAAACCAAAACTAAACACACACTTAATCTGTTCACCCACAGAAGTACTCTTCACCAAGAAGAAGGCAGTGGAGAGCACAGTGAATTGTACAGACTGTGGCCACACCAGGGCTTGCATTCCAGATCTGGCAACAACAAGGACACGTGGCTTTTCCTTGGGCAAGTCATATACTCTCTAAGTTTTATTTTCCTTATCTGTAAAATAGGCTAGATAATGCCTATCTCAAAGGGTTATCTGGGGAACTAAATAACATAATATTTGAAAAGCACTTGGCACAGAATTCAAAAGAATGGTATTCATTACAATTCCTGTTAATTACTGTTGCATTAGAAACCAAGAGGACCTCTGTGTTTTATCCTGTGTAAGATAATACAGGTCATCTCATTTTTTAGGGGAAACCCCACAACTAGGGTGCAGAGAATGTGTGGGGGAATGATGATGGAGGGGAGGTATGCAGAAAAGGTATTAAGAGCCCACCATAAGTGGACAGGGAGATGTTTGTGTCCAGACCCTGGGTAAGTGGAGAGAAGTATGGTGGGAAGCAGAAGGAGGCAGAAAAGGAGTCTGGGATGACTTCTGATGCTCAGCTTGGGAGGACTGAAGTAGGGGTTGGGAAATGGAGCCGCTCAGGGTGGCATCTCAATGGGCTCCAGTCTATGCGTGAAAGCTCTGTATGCTGTCTCAACTTTGGCTATCAAACCTAGGAAGACAATAAGTTCAGATAAGGAGGGAGCCATGTGGGAATGGACAGTGAGTGGGAATCAGAACAAAACAGAGACTGTCTGGCCAGCAGATGCAGAGGTATGGATTCAGCTCGACCATGCAGGGGATGGCAGGGGAGATCTATTTGTTTTATAATTAGCATATGATATGGGGAATGCTTTCTTCCATTTTGGCACGAGGTTCTGGAATGTCCAGTTACAATCTTGGTATGCTACCAAAAGATTTCATATCCTGAACTTTTTACTATCGTATCACCAGTAAGGCGGCTCTGAGATAGTCTGGTAGGAAGCAAAAGCCAGTACCTTTTTGATGACAATGAAAATCCTTGGATTTATATACTATGACATGATGTGAGGGGCATTGTTTAGCTCTTGACACAGCTATGAATACCTAGGGCAGAACACCAAAGGAAAAAGTCTACTTTGAAATCTCTCTCAGAACAAATCTGAGAGAATTTGCTGGTTAATGCAAATACATGTCCAAACAAGTACTGGTTTACTTAGGGAGTATGCAGAGCTGGCAAGCCTCACTTGGCATGAAGAGCATGAGTAATGATTCATTTTAATGAGGGATCTTGGGGGTCTATAATGAAGGCTATGTGGTATTTCCCATGTGTCTCTTTGGAATGTGGACTGAGTGTACCCACAGTGGAAGAAAAGCCATTGGAAAATACATAGTTCACAAAACCTCTGGGGCTCTATAAGATTTAGATAATTTAATGGCATAGAAATGAATTCACAGAAATACACCCAGAGATCTCAGAGTAAAAAGCTTCCCTTCCCACAGGTAAGCAAATATGAGCACAAAGTAATGAGACTATATTTTTTGGGGAAAGGGGGATTTAATTTTTAATGATTTTTTATTTTAAGATGAATGCATCCCTGGAATAATTCCTAGACTCCCTACATGACTCTTCTGAAAGGTAAGAGTCATTTGAATATCAAGTTCATATATATAAAGTACATATATTCATTTTTGAGACATAATTTCAGTCACATTTCACCTGTGAGCTCTGATCATTTGGAGCTTTTCTATTAGAGAAAATCAATACTTAACGTTTGAGGTGGAAACAAAAAAATCTTGAAAGTGACAAGGAAAACCAACATTGCCCAGTCTTTACGATGGTCTTTGACTAGTCGATGAAATGGCAGATAGAATGAGCATTACTGCATGTTTGTTCTGGGGTCTTTCATCTGGGTGTCCCCTTAGATCCAGCTACAGGGTATGACTTCCTAGAAACAAATTTCCTTTCTGGTCAGATCTGGAGCATTGTGTGATCATTCATTGCAAAGTATGTGAAGTACTGTACTGACCTTTATCTTGTATTTCTGGGCTGGCTAGAGCAAAACACTCCACAGAGCCTGGGCCTCCCAAAGAGCTCCGGGATTTTGGAGGGATTACGTACAGTTCTGGGGTGTTTGGAAGAATGTGATTCAGTCCTTCAGGCTTAAAGGAGGGGATGGTGACCCAGAACTCAGGACAAGAGAGTCCCAAGAGGCAGAAATGTTGGTGGGAGGAACCTCTTCTGTGTGTACTGATATATCAAAGAGGACTTGGAATTCTAAAGAGAAGTAAGAAATTCTGTCTTAAAAGAAATAATTTTGAAATATTAAAACATTTCAATGAACTGAAACTAATGTGAAGTAAACTCAACAGGCAACTGTGTTGTTATCAGATAAAGGTAGCACCACCCACTTGGGACTTACTCATACCCAACAGACCAAGTGGAGATTTCTTGTAATTTATTTATCACAATTAAAAAAAAAAAAACAACCCTTAAATGCCTGCTATGCATAATCGCTAATTGTAAGACAGGTTCTAAACTGACTCAGGAGAACGTCCATTTTCACTTGTTTCCTATGAAATTTAAGGTCACTCCTCTAAAGAGGCCATTTCTTCTGTCCTCATTTGCATTTGCTCACCAACAACAGCAACAACAAAAAAATCCCAAGCAAAAGCCCTTAAACAATAAAACTGCTGTCCAAGAAAAACATTTAGTTTGAAAAAGAGTTGAAAAATGTAGCCTTGGAAGAACCATTGCTTACATGGGATTGTTCAACAAATTCCTGTTGTATGAGGTTTGGCATATACTTTCTAAAAATATAAGCATCTGGGGAAATGAGACAAAGCCCAGGTCCTGGACCAAATGAGGCACGCAGTGTGAATCTGTTAGTGATTATATCCATAATGAAATATGTGCCCAAATTTAGCAGTGCAAAATCAAATACAATACGAAAGCCCAGCAGGCACTGTCCTTACCATAATATATAGCCAACAGAGAAGGTACATATGGCGGCGAGTCCACTGCTCCTGCTGGGATACGCATGGTGTGATGTCCTCATCTCGATTAATATAAAGGGCAAAACTGTTGTGTGCTGAAAAAGAACAAAGAGCAGGTGACACAGATTCTTATCATCGCCCCTCAATACTTGTTTTGTCTCCAGTAGGAGAAGAAATAGTGCAAATTCCTAGCAAAAGCGCCACAGCAGAGAGCAGTTGTAAATGGCTCCTCTAAGAGGTAGGATGGACAGGAAAACATGTGGTGTATTGATCGCTCTACTGGTGTTTTTCTTATCTATCTGAATTTTTAAAATTTTATTTTATTTATGACTGTCTCAGCAAATTTCAATGATTTTGAAGGATGTATAAGAAAAAACTGGAACATAATAAAGGAATAAAAATAACCACTGTTAATATTTTGGTAGATGTCATTTCCTCCTCCTTGTTCATATTATTTATACATAGTTAAGATCATACTGTGCACAGAATTTTGTTTTGAGACTGTAGCATGAGAATTTTGCGGGGGAGGGCAGAGGGAGAAAGAGAATCTTAAGCAGGGTCTACCCCTTGCGTGTCAGCCCAACTGGGGGCTAGATCTCACAAACCTGAGATCATGACCTGAGCTGAAATCAAGAGTCAGATGCTTAACCAACCAAGCCATCCAGGTGCCCCAAATGGGAATTTTTGATATGCCATTTTAGAAATTCTTCTAGAATATTAACCTTGTCCATAGTTGCTTGAAACTCCATTTTATGGATATATTGGATATATGAAAATTTATTTGACCAATTCCTGTTCTTGGACATTAAGTAGTAAAAGATTTTCAATTTTTCATTTATGAAAAATGTCATGAATATCTTTTGTAGAATTCTTTGTGTGAATGTCTGAATGTTAGATGATTTTCTTTTTTTTTTTTTTAAGATTTTATTTATTTATTTGAGAGAGAGAATGAGATAGAGAGAGCATGAGAGTGGGGAGGGTCAGAGGGAGAAGCAGACTCCCCGCTGAGCAGGGAGCCCGATGTGGGACTCGATCCCGGGACTCCAGGATCATGACCTGAGCCGAAGGCAGTCGCTTAACCAACTGAGCCACCCAGGCACCCCTAGATGATTTTCTTATAGTTAAAGGCATAATGCCAAATTATGTGTGTACCAGCAGCAGGTTAGGAAATAATGCCAAACTAGCTTCCAGAAAGGATGTACTGGTTTGTACCAGCAGAGCATGGATTTAGATATAATGTTTGAAGACAGACTCCAAAGAAGCTTGATGGGAACTTCCCATTTGTTTTTTGGACCCAGTGGCCACTCTGATGCTCATTTCAGTGGGCCAAGATGGGGATGAAATTTGGTAAGAAGAAAGGAAAGTCAGCTTGTCTTGGTGTTGAAATTTGATGGACAGATATAAGGGACAAAGATCTTCTTAGGTAAAAGTGGGTTAGGATATAGATTTATCTTCCAACATTTAAGTTTCTCAAGAGAAAGAAGATGGCAGAACTGAGAACTGAACCATGAGTAAGTTTGAATTCTACTTAGTACCTCCTTAATGGCCACAAAAGAATCTTTGCTCTGCTCTCACTGTATTGTTTGGATAGTCAAGGAAAATGCAGGTAATTGAATGTTATAATTTTCAAACTATAATAAGTATCATGGTACCAGGGGGCAGGTGGACCTTGGCAGGAAAAGACATGGTAGTGATATCAAAGTGAACATCTTTGAAGCAATATATTGTTTATATTTATAGAAAAAACAGAAATACAAGATTTTTAAAGAAATACTAAGATAGTAGAAATTCTTTGCTTTAAATGTTCTCCTCTAGATAACTGTGCAGACTGCCAATATATTAGTAATTAGAGTATGGTATTCCTAGAATGTCAGGTGGGTGATTCTACAGTTGGGTAGCTTTATATTTCCTTATCCTTTGCTTCTCTATTGTCGTTCTAAAACAGTATAATTAGCTCTGAAGGGAACCATGCAAAATGTACGTGTGTGTTGATACAGAGACAGTATGTGTTTTAAAGATCTATTTTATTGTTTCATTCATTATAATCTAGTCACCTCAGATGACATTGGCCTGGAGTTTCACCAATGATTTGAGATACCAACAGTAGTTTTGTAATGGTGCATTCATGTGTAAAATTCAAATGTATAGCTAACAGTAAGTCCAAGTCTTGTCAAATCTCACATGGGGAAAAAACAACATTTTTAATGGGAATTACTAACTCCATTTTACACTAAAGATAGTGCTGACTCTGGTGGCCTGTGTGAGTTATAGAACCATGATGACATATTATTTTTATTTGTTAATATTAAAAAGTGTTTAAATTCTACCTCTTCATCCATTGTTCCAGATAATCATCCATTTTTCTATAAAATTATGTAAGTTCAAATAACTAATCTGAATATTCTTAGTTATCTAGTTATCATTCTTTTACTCAGCCTACTTGCTGATTATCGGATGTCATACCTGGAAGGGTTAGGATGTATTTTGAGGATGCCAGACAGAAAATCTCTTTGAAAAATGAAGATCTTTCTAGATCACTTCATTAATGTCATCATCACCACGAAAAAGGAGCTACTTGTTCCATCAATGACATAATCAATGACAAAAGATATTTTTGTGTGCCAGTTGGCCCAGTGGCAAATCTCAGGGTACCAACATATCATTCAGAGTTTTCAGGCCTAAAGAATGTATATCTACCTCTCTAAAAATGTGTAAGGCAGATGATGTTTACTGTTAAACCATACCTATTGATAAAAGTAAAAGTAGTGTAAAATATAGCAAATATAAACATTGCTCTGCAGGTAGCTAAGGTTTTATAAACTAATAAAATGGTAAAAATCTATAAATGGTCCTGCTGAATCTCTAAGTAACATTTAGCAGCTCAATTGTAACCCAAAATCTGCAGCAGCAAGAGGGATCATTATTTCAGAACTACAGGTACAAGAAATCCAGTTCTAATCCACTCCCAGGCAACACTCTGCTTGAATGATTTCAGAACCAGGAAGGAAATATTCAAGTCCATTCAAGACCACTTGCTGCACAAGAAGGGTAATCCTATGTTTTGTTCACTGTGGTATTTGTATAAAAGAGCCTGGCACAAAAGAGGTGCTCAATAAATATTTGTGGAGATAAATCTTCAAAACAACATTTTTAATAGGAATTATTAACTCCATTTTGCAGATGAGGTAACAAAGACTCAGAAAAGATCATTATCTCACCCAAGATAATAGAGCGAGTACATCTGGAGGTAGGGTTCAAGACCAGTTCTGTCTGCAAATGCTAGGCTCTGTTTTCTACATTAGAATGATATTTTTAAAAGATATAGTTAAGTAATCTTTGACTCAATAAGCCTGTGGGAGTGGATGACTGAAAATCACTTACGTTGCCACTCAACTGACCAGAACTATTTTTTGCTTGAGCCTCAAAATAAAGAGCTCTTCACTGTAAAAAATGTATTTTGCCAAATGTGTTCTTTCTTGTGGCATATAACCATTCTGAATAATAATAAACAATAAAATCAGCTGGCATAAAGTCAGGACTTTTCAGTGGTACAGTGAGAAAGACAGCTGCAGGCAGCTCTTCCAGCTTTCGACTCAGAGGAGGTCAAGGTGTAACTTTCTTGGTCATCCCGCATCCTGTTCATTTGGCAGCTGCCTTTGCCATGTTGTCTAAACTCCACCCCAACGAGATCAAAGTCATAGACCTGAAGTGCATGAGCTGGGAAGTCGGTGCCACATCTGCCCCAGCCCCCAAGACTGGACCCTGGGTCTGTCACCCAAAAAGATTGGTGATGACATGCAAGGCAACAGGTGACTGGAAGGGTCTGAACATGACAGTGAAACTGACCATTTGGAATAGACAGGCCCACATTTAGTAGTACCTTCTGCCTCTGCCCTATCGTCAAAGGCCCCCAGGAACCAGTCAGAGACAGAGAGAAGCAAAAGACCGGCAAACACAGTGGAAGTCTCACTTTTGATGAAATTGTCCACATTGCCCGACAGATGCAGTACCAATCTTTATAGTCAGAGAGCTCTCTGGAGCCGTTAAAGAGAATCTGGGGACTTCCCAGTTTGTGGGTTGCAATGTTGATGGCCGCCATCCTCATGACATCGTAGATGATATCAACAGTGGTACAGTGGAATGCCCAGCTACTTAAGAACCACAAAGGAAAATACTTCAATAAAGGATCATTTGACAAAAAAAAAAAAAAAAAAAAGCATACTCAGGAATGATCTGTTTCTATTTCTCAAACACAAATACCTTTTATTTTATTATTATTATTTTTAAAAAGATTTTATTTATTTATTTGAGAGAGAGTGCATGAGCAGGGGGGAGGAGCAGAGGGAGAAACAGACCGCCCGTTGAGCAGGGAGCCTGATGTGGGGCTCGATGCCAGGATCCTGAAATCATGACTTGAGCCAAAGGCAGACGCTCAATGGACTGCGCCACCCAGGTGCCCCCGCAAATACCTTTTAAAGTTTTCTCAGGTGTAGATACACTTTGAATGAGCGAAGAAAGAGATAAAGTCTAGTTGCCAGAGGGGGGCTCTTAAGAATTGCATTGGACTGTTTTCTGCAGTGCATTGTCAAGAGAACAATTGCCCGCAGCTGAGTTCCTGAGGTTCTACTGTTTGTTTTTAAGTGCTAAGTAAGATGAAAGGTTGATAGCCCAAGGAATAAACTTTTGATTTAATCTATAAACTCTGCCCTAGAAAGCACTGGTCTAAAATATAAGAAATCTTATCCCAAGCTCCAGTTTCCAGTGCCGCTAATGTTAATGAGACTGTGTTAAAAAAAAAAAATTGCATCCAAAAAGGGAAGCCCAAATCTGTCTTGGGTTTTGGCATCCTTTGTGAGTTTTCTTAATGGGGTTCAGGTGGGTTTCCTTTATGGAGCAATGATTATCACCACAAACTGAGCAGCATCCCAAGGCAAAGGTCAGCCCTCAGAGAGGACCCACCACATGTTGTCACCTCTACACAGAGACGCTCAGCCTTGAGCAGAGGGCTAGATTCAAGGAGGGACCCGTAACTTAATTATGATGTGAAGGAGATGGGATAAGAAAAAGGCTTTTGGAGGAGAGGCTCCAAGGAAGA